TTTATGTAAATAACAAAAAGTTTCTACATTAAACCCTCTTTCATGAAACAAGAACAACGGGTTCCTAAAAAATCTAGTAACTAAGAGATAAATGAGACCTTTATTTAGTCACTTATTTTATCGTTGTAAATTTCTGTCTGGCAATGAAGGTAATCCTGATATATTTGATGCATTTCAACGGTTCGCATATAAGGTTTCAATGGAAGCACAAGTCAAAGACTCACACATCGCATCCTAATTGCCAGCTTAGCTGGGACAAGGAGGAGACCACAACTCACGGGGGCGATTTCCATTAGATACATTATACACCGCACACACAACGGGACGGCTTTCAATTTAATTGCCACAGGTAAGCAAGGCAACCGATTGGAGTTGCCAATGTCTTCGACACTCAGTCAGGTCCTTGTGGTCGGTCCTCCGAGCCCCCTTAATTCCCCCCGATTGCAATCGCAAAATGCTGTCTCATGCCTGCGGAGCAAAGTCGCAGGATAAGACCCGAACGCACACAATATTTCTTCATCAACAGCTTAAGGCGGCGGTCAGGCAATAAATTTTGCGCTGTTAATTTGTCACATGATTTTAGTTGGCCAATTACAACTATCGGACAACAACAGTGCTCCTTCTGACAGGACGCACACACAAAGGATGGCCACAATGGCAGCTTAACTGACTGGAGAAGAAAGGTCCTGGGGTCAGGGGGTCACAAAAATGCCAACGGGGCAAAAAAACAAAGGGAATGGGGACAAAAAATAGCAGACGACAGGAGCTACTGGCTGTGCGTGTCTTGGTATTTATCTAATTGTCCCTTACCCACCCACACACACACTATTTCCTTGGCAGGGCTTTAAGGACATTTTTAGCTTGGTCAATTCCTCTGCTAGATAAATGTTTGTGCGTTCATAAAAATGCGAGTCTAATGCGGCGTTTGTGTGAGTCTAATTGCACAGTGTATGTGTGTGTTTGAGGGCAATTGATCCCGGCCATCCTGACGTTTAATAAATATCCGACTAGTGGGGAGTACCGCTGACGCACTTCCGTTTCCTGTTTATTGGCCCAAAACTCAACAGACGTTCTCTATACCCAAATTATGTGACATTGATGTGTACCAGTGTTGAGGGTTGGGATATTTCTTTAACGTTTTTAATATTTATAAAAAAAAAGTATCAAATTTGTAAAGCAGGGTTTTTAATCAGCTAAAAACAAAACGAAGTAATATGTTTTACAACTAGTAAACCAGTAAAAGTATTAAATGAAAGTATTTTTAGGCTGGTAATAACCCAAATTGATAGCACATTTTTTGCAAGACTTAGTTACTTTTGGCATCACTAAATGGACCTGCCGATGTGCCCTGCGCAATGTGTTCGGCAGGAGGCAGACCATGCGTTAATGTCCTTAAATAAGAAATTCATATCATTAATTTGATTTTGCCTCCTGCCGTATGCCCTCGGCTCGCTTTGTGACAATTTGTCAAGTCCGGATTGTGTGTGTGGTACTTGTGCAGTGCATTTCAAATGAAATGTAATTGCTGTGTAAGCCCTACCCATTAAGGTCCTGGCAAGTGCGTGGGCTACAAAATGGCAATGCAAATAGTTTGAGTCGACCAGAACAGAGCGGAGACGAGTCGGAATTAATGGAATTGCATTCCAGCAACAGATCCTCGCCTTTGTGGGCGATTTCTAATAGGGCATCAGGCTAATTGGTTATATAGAGCAAGGAAGATGATTCAAAGCGCCCGACAGTTTTTGTAACATATAGGAAAACTAGGAGTTCACCATTTTACATAGTTGTCACTTACCACTTTAGCAGTTGGAACTTGGCACATTTTTATATACGTTTAAATTTGTCGAACTATGTACGTAAGTTAATAGTTATAACTACATTACAACCGCGCACTACGTAAGATCAAAACGAAAGACGAACACAGGAAAAAGAAACGAACGCGACCATTTTGTTGGGGAAGGAGGAGCCGCGAAAACAAGTGGGCAGCGCCAATGCAAGCAACACGCAAAAAACGGCGAAATTTAATAATTTCCTTCACCTCCTGACACAACAACATTTTCTTAGACATAGTTTATTATTTAACTTTATCAATAATACTTTTTTATTGAAATCACTAAACAAGAACAAATAACAAGCAGACTTTTACCGAATGCGTACATGGTGACGGGTGAATGATCGCGAGAGTGTGGGGAAGTTGTCTTGTTGTTTTCTTTGTGCGTTATGATTAATTAACTTCCAGATGGTGAGTTTGCAAGTACAATTCACCATTCTTTCTTGTAATTTTAGGCCTTCAATTTTTTATTTTACCAAATTGCACATCTATAGCAATTTAATAACCAACGTAAATAAGATATTGGAGTGACGAACTTTCTGTTCACAAATATTTATTTATTAACAATTCGTGCATGCTCAAATTTCTAAGGGTCGAAAGGATGCAATAAATTTGCAAATTCTACAAATTCATTGCACATACATATACTACATTTACCTGGTCAAAAGCTTTGGTTGATTTTAACAGGCATGGAAGACCCTAAAATATAATTAGTTTTCGGACAGTAGCCGGGTTGCAACCGGAAACCATTTTATGAAATATTTTATTTAATTATTTCGAATATTGGAGTTATTTTTGCCAAGCCCCAAGGGGACGGTCCCGTTTTATCCTGGGTTCCGGCCATTTCTGTTGTGGTGATACAATTTTGACACAGGTTTGTCGGCTGCTGCCACGCCCCCTCGAACGGCAACCCCTCGACCGGGTCGAACTAATTAGACGGGGCACCAAAGCGAAAATTTCGGTATTAAAATTGTTGAAAGCTCAAAATTATATTTATGGATCGAGGCAATAATTACGCTAAGCCAATGTGCAAATTGTTATGCCTGTGGTTTCCCCAATCCCGCCACATTTCGAATGTTTGTTCAACGTGTGGAAAGTGGGGATAATACATAAATGGTTGGTCCTCGAAGTGAAATCTAGTCACACACTGATAGTTACTTTTAAAAACTCACAATATACACATATCACAATAAATTCACACATAAATTCAGCTCCACCAAAAATCCCTTGCTATTTTGACTCAGTCTGCAACCAAGTTAATTTCTGGCTGCCGTTCAATAAGGCAGCAGTCGCTGATTATTATAGGAAATGCCAATAAATTGCAACATTGACAGGTTCCCCAGTTCCCGGACTAAAAAACACCCTAGATCCACCCATTCTCCGCCGGAAACATGTGCGTGAGCTAAGTGCGGGCAAAGTTCAAAGGCGAGTCACACGTTAAACGCCCATTAAATTTAGCTTCGATATGAATGCGATATGTGTGACCCAGCCACCGTCCCCCGAGAAGGGGTCACGTGTGATTAGACCTGGTCGCGGTCACGCCAGCCAAAAGCCCTTATCCCCATTGAGCCATAAATATTGGTAACACAATCTAAGCTCTGTCGGGGTCAAAACTTGGGCTTGAGGTGCGAAAAGTCGCACTGCCAGTCGCCAGCCGGTTCACACACACGCCATCTGCCGGCCCGAACCGCCACTCGCCTTGTAACGCCCCAAGACCCCAGTACCCAACTTATGTCCCCGCCCCATCGTATGTTTTAAATCGCTACAAAATTGGTTTTCAATTTTTAAACGCCTCTCCAGGCTTTCGCCTGCGAGGTGCCAGGTCCTAGGACCTCTCGTTCAGGTCCTTGCGTGCCGTTGCGTCTTGTCCTTTGTCGACACAAAGCCACACAACCACCCCGTTTAGTACACTTAGAGAGGAGATTTTTATTTTTTAATAATACAAATTATTAAGAATTTATATTCTTTCTAATTTCTACAAGCCACAAGAAGCAGTAGCTATCCGCCAGAAATATACAATCATTATAAGATGCACGATCTCCCAATGTTTCACAAACCTAGTTACTCTAGTCATTGTCTTTTCTTTAAGTGTACTAACCCTGCAGAATGCCTGTGTGCCGCTCTTATGTTTTATACATGATTTTTCCACGCGGTCGCCCGGATTTTGTGGAGTAGTTTGCTCCTGTGCCAGGAGCCCAGGCCATAATTCAAGTAAGGCGTTAATCTGTGACACCCAATGCTCGGCAAGGCCAACAACATGTGTCGTGGATGGAGATCACAGCTGCCGTATGAGAAGATGTTTGGAGCTGGTCTCCTGCATTTTGTCGAAGGGTGAAAAATGGCACACCTACAGGAAAGGGTTAATTACTCAAGAGGTCAACTGATGGGGCGTGCTTCAAGCTTAAAGCCCTATTGTTTTGGCCATTTCGTTCCCAAAAGAACATCCCCTCTAAAACCCTTTAATAGATAAAAAGCGTAAGTGTTGGTTTTTTCAAGTTTTTTTTATTCATTTTTTTGTTTTAGTTTTTCTACTCATTGTTTTTAACATTTTTTTGTGTTGGTAATTTTAAAAAAATTTTTTACTTTTTTTTGTTTACGTTAGTTTAGAAATTTTTGTGGTTTTCCGTGGTTTTACATATACATATCCATATATATGCATCGTATAATTAATTATTAATATAATAATAGTAGTAAATATTACTCTTTATGGTTTAAACTATCACGTTTTTCACAATAATCATTTCTTTCGTTTTGCTTAGTTTCCCCTCGCATTTTCCGTATTTAAGTAGCTTACAAAATTACTTTTAATAGAGTTCCATTATGTTCATTTCGTAGGTGTGTATGTGTAGGTGTGTGTATCGTATCATATTCGTAGAGTTAAGTGTAAATTATTCATATAAAAGTTGCAAACTTAAAGGGCACATACAAGGTCAATAATCAAGGTGTGTTTTAGTGTTATCGTAAACTAAAGTCAACACTTCATGTGAAAAACAAAATAGTTGTGGCAGAACTATGTATAATATTACGCAACAGCCGATTGAATTGTCGTCGGACATCTCTCTCATTTATAATATCTATAATATTGATAGATCGTTAAGCTCTTACAGAAGCGACTGGCCAATATGGGTGTGATTGTGTTGGTGTGTGGATAAAATTGATAAGGCGACACTTTAAAAAGAAGCGGGGAAATATATTTACAGATATCTAATGATTACAAAATAATATTTAATGAATCGTTCTCTTTGCACTTTTCGTTTTGTGTGGTGTGTGTTGTGTATGCTTGCTAGTCTAGATGAGCTAAGCATAATCGAGGAGCTGAAGGACCTTGAGAGAGTTTTGCAAACTGCTCGACATCAGGCGGCATCGGACAACTTCACCTTATGCCTCTTTTTTAGTTTTAGTTCAAATTGCAGTCACGCTTTAAAGTCTCTCTATATGTGTGTTTGGATATATGCAGATATATATAGTTATTATCCGTATTAAGCTTAGATTTGATTTCTCACATACGTTTTAAATTTAGATCTATTCACTATGCGAAACAAACTTCATTATCTCTTAATGCTTTTTTTTTCGTTTGCATGATATTTGCCTTTTCGTTTTTTATAAAGTTTTAAACTTTTTTTGGACTTGACAATTTTTGTGTGATTTTAAAATTTTTTTTGTATTTTTCTCTAGCTTTTCTTTATAGTCGTAGTTTTGTCGAATTAAAAAGTAACAAGTGCGAAAACTAAAGGTTAAAAATAAATGGTTTTTGACATGATTCTAAATGCTTGGCGGGGTACGAAGTTTTGAGGTTATCGGGGATGAACCAATTCGACTGATCGGATCGATTTTATCTGGGGGCAGTGCAGTGCGACGGGGAAGCTGAGGACCCGATTCCGGGTCGGATTCCTATTCCTACTCCGCTGGCGATAGCGATTGTGCTGGACTGGCTTGTGGTAAATGCTTAAATAACTAAAATTCGCTGGCACTTGAGCCCCGCTTGCCTCAATTGGGTTTAAGGATTACAAGTTCTCGCTGCCTCTTAAACAATTACAGCTTACGTTTGCGCTTAGGTCACACACAAAAATAATAATAATAGTTAGTAATCATATTCATATATACGCGTATTCTGGCTTCAAGTACCTTTATGTATATATATGCATTTATATATATACCTTTGTAATTTACAAAATTTATTTGCATTAAGATCATTTGGTTTTTGTTTGTCGTGTATCAATTTCGTTTGATTTGTTTTCAGTTTTCGTTAGGTAATATTTGCATAGGTTATATCGTTATCGTTATGGTTATGGTTATTATTTTTAATCGTATAGTACAACAGTTCATGGCAAAACGTCAACTATCAACGCTGCTCTAAGTAGGAAAATTTGCCTTGATTTTTGTTTCGCACTAAAAAATAGGGAGAATAATCAACAGAACAAAAATGTATAAGGGCAATCGTTTCGTTATTTTCAAAGATCATGGCTGGTTGGCACTGGTACGAAGCAGACAGACCCCGCTGTGTCTAATTGGCGTGTGTGTGTGTGGGTTTATGGTGTGGGTTTGTGGTGTGGGCTTGAGCATTTCGTAAGCAACCATTTTCAGTTTTTCGTCGAGGGTGTGCGAGAAACAAACAATTAGAATCGTAACTACTAAACCAACGCGCGCGCTTGGCAAATTGCAATAAACAAATTTCAAAAAATTTCACTTAATTATGCTAAACGCTAACGACTTTTCCCACTTTACGTTTGACTCGAATACTACAAAAGAATAATAAGGATGAATAAACAAAAGAGTGCGGGAGCAGTCGGATGCGAGTGCCCCCATGAAACTAAGTCGTAGATAATAACTTAAGCCTAGTTCAAAAAGTGTCTGCATGTCGTGTGAACTACTTCTGCGACGAGGACGAGCCCGCTACCGTTACCGCCGGCGCTGCTGTGGCAGCTGGTGTTGTGGCACTTGCCGCTGCTGCTGCCGCCGATGTGCTGGCTCGTGCCGAGTTTGTCTGTGATCCTGCCGCTGGCTTCGGCTTCTGTTGTTGCTGCTGCCGCTGCTTGTGTGGCGCCAGGCCCGAATTGCTGCCGCCGCGTCGCAGCTCGTGCTGCGACCCCTGGTTGCGGTTGGCCACCTGCGGCTTGTTGCCCAGGGATCCGCTGCGAATGCGCACCGTGCTGCTGCCGAAGGAGCCGGTGCGTCTGCGGTTCTGATTGTATCCACCGCCGTAGCCCTGCTGATGCTGGTGGTGTTGCTGCTGCTGCTGTTGTTGCTGCTGCTGCTGCTGTTGCAGCAACCTGCCCACGTAGTCGCTGCGGTTGGTAATGGTCGTGTTGAGACGACGACCGCCGGCCGTGATAACGGCCGTGCCATCGCTCTCGGACACGCTGCGGTGGCGGTTGAGCTGGCGCCCGGGATTCAGGCTGCCCACGCCCTGCAGCATCTCGTTGATCTCCGGCTCGACCACGCGGAAGTCCTCAATGTTCTTGAAGTTCTTCAGGTACTCGGCCAGCTTGGGCTGCACCTCCAGCTTCTCGCCGTTCTTGTAGTACTTCAGGAAGGCCCAGAACTTCTCGAGGCCGTACAGTTGACCTGACAGAGGAATACAGCGTTAGTATTTGAAATAAAATTTATTCTTATATTGCTTATTGCTTACCTGTCTCGTAGTCGGCAACCGTCTCGTCCTGGAAATCCTGGTACACATTCGGCCGGAACTTTTTCTCAAGGCCGTACGAGAAGAAGCGGAAGAGGCACTCGAGGCCGTAGCGGAACCCGTTGCCGGCATCCTCCAGCGCCAGGGTGCGAAACTCGTTGTACATGCTCTTGTTGAAGTTCTCGCGCAGGAAGAACGACCAGAAGCGGTACAGGGTGTTCATCTCCTGCGACTGGCCGAAGCCCAGGCGCCGGCGCTCCTTGAGGCAGCGCGAGTGGTACTTGTGGTAGGCCTGCTGCGTGAAGTTGTTCTCCTTGAGCAGCGCGTGCGACGGGTGCTGGAACACCGGCAGCGACTGCGGCACCGAGGAGCCGAACGATCCGTACGAGGAGGCGGTGGGCGAGGTGCCCGCCGAGGAGCCCATCGAGGTGGTGCGTGGCCGGTGCTCCACGGTGTCGAGCAACCAGCCGACGTGGGCCTCCACGGGCGGATTGGCGGTGTGGCGCAGCTTGCGCTTCCTGGGCGTGCGGGGATCAATCGAGTGCGAGTTCGGGGCGGCGTAGAAGCGGGCGCGGCGCGACTTCAGGGTGTTGTTCAGCGTGGAGTTGAGCGTGGTGTCGCCCACCAGGGTCTCGTCGAGATCCTGCTCCTCGAACGGCGGCGGCGGTGGAGCCACCTGCTGCACCACCGTCTTGTTGCGCCCGCCGGCCAGCTTCTCGAAGTCCGCCTGGGAAATCACGTTGACAGTCTTGTAGTCGGCGACCACGTTGGTGGTGGTCCACAGGTCCTCCTCGTAGTTGACCAGCCCGTCGTTGATGATGTTCTCCAGGTCCTGGGTGATCTTGGTGCGCGATGTGAAGTCGGCGGTGCGGTCGTAGCCCTCGTGCTTGGGCGCCCGGCCCACTTGGGCCACGATCAGCAGCTTGTTGATGTCGCGGTCGGCAAACTCGTAGTCGGACTCGTCGTCGTCGGAGAAGTTCTCGGTGAAGTTGTTGATGCGTCCGGTTCCGGGGGGTAGGGGGTCCATCAGCTCCTCGTCAAACTGGAAGTCTAGTTCTTCCTTTTCGGCATGGCACTGAGCGGATGGCGGAGCAGCTGTTTTGGATGAGGATTTGGAGTGGGTTTTGGAGTAAGCAGCATTGCCAGACTTAATGTTGTTGTTGCTGTTCGTGGCGGTGGAGTTGGTGGTGGTGGTGGTTTTGGTGCTTGCTTTGGTGGCTGAGGAAGCTTTGTTCGTGGTTACACACACAGTGGCTGATGATGAGGCGTTGGATGGGGCGTTGTTGGACGAGGACGTGGACTTGGACGTGGACACGGACGAGGTGTTGTTGTTCGATTTGACAATTTCGTTATTGTTGTTGTTGAGCGTTTGTGAAAGCGGTGGCTGTTGTTGTTGTTGTGGTGGTGTAGTAGCGTTTTCTTTGATAGCGTTTGTTTTGGAGCGTCTCTTTACCTCTTTCCACATGCCCTCCGGCTCCGCCACCAAAGCAGCTGCTGCCCCAGCTCCCTTGCCAGCGGCCCTCTTGTCCGGAGTGGACGTCGACTTGGGCTTCACGCTCTCCGCCAGTCCACTCAAGTGTCCAGCCAGCTCGGCCGCTCCGCCCTCCACCTGGTGGGTCAGGGCACTGATCGCGTTCACCGAGTTGAGGGCCGCGATGGTCGAGGCCCGCGACTGCTGCTGCTGGTGCTGCTTGTCCTGCAGCATCTTGGGCACCAGGCTCTGCGAGTTGCGCGGCACCGGCGGCGGCGGAATGCTGCTCAACGGCTTCGTGGCCATCGCCGATGTGAGGATGGGCGGCGGCGAACCGGCCTCAGTCTGCTGCACCTCCACGGCCTCCTTGTCCTTGGGATCCTGCTTCTCCTTCTCCTTCTCCGACTGCTCCGGCTCCAGCTGGACGGCCTTGAGCTCGCCCTCCTCGCCTCCGGCACGTCGGTGATGGGCCAAGTGGTCGGTGTCGTCTTGGTGCGCACCTTGTAGCCCTCGAAGAGCTCCAGCTTATCCGATTCCTTGATCGCGTTCACTATCAGGGCCACGTCGGTGGTCAGGGCGAGAACGCGATGGAACGAAGCGATCAGGGTGACTGGGATGTAGCCCTCGGGGTCCATTTTGCGGCGCAAAAAGAAGTCGCCGGTAAGATTCTCGGCGCTGAAATAATATTCACTACGGGGGATCGAGAGGAGAGAAGGCGAGGGTCAACAAAGGGGTTTGTTTAGAATGCAAGGTAGATAATGCCTTTTAGCTTCAGGAGTTTAATTTTAAACTGGTTGACTATACAAACAAATTGAAGAGAATTAATTAAAATGAATGTTTTAAAAAGACAAATAGTTGATCCTTTTTATATTTTCTAACTTATTGCAGTTGAGGAGGAGAGTTTCCCAAACCATAATAGACAAAGTGACTCAGCAAAAGGCATTAGAGAAACAATTCAAATGGGCTACTTACACTTGCTTCTTGATCGCCTCCTTGACGCTGGTCGCGTCCATTTCGATGTAGGCGGCGGGCACGTTGCCGAAGTAGTGGGTGCCCAGGAGCACGTACGACGACTGCGAGGAGTCGGCGCCAGCGGCGTCCGCCGGCAGATAACTGGCATAGTCGCCCGAAGCTAGCAGATGGCGTGGTATGCGATGAGTCGGGCGACCTGGTCCCTGTCGGGAGTATCCGCCCCGGCCTTGCCGCCCGCCGCGGTACGGCGTCCGGAAGCGACGCGACCCGCGCGCTGCTGATCCAGCTCCCGCTGCTGCTGCCCCGGCACCACCCGCTGCTCCAGCCCCAGAGCGCTGCTCATCGAGGGCCGCTGCGGTGCTGCCGCTGCTACGCCAGGAATCCACGCGCTCGGACGCAGCAGTCGCTGGGCGCTGGCCGTACGGATGCCGTGGATGCCGCGACTCGCCTCCAGCTCCCGGCTGGCGGTCGTGGTAGACGCGCGGCGGACGGCGGTGCTCGCCGGAGCCGTCGTCGCTGAGCCGCCGATTTGGCCGGCCGCCGATCGGCTTGGGGCGACTGGACTTAGCCAGATCGATGGGCAGCGGACGCCACTTGTGCTTGGGTAGCTTCTTGGTGAGGGCAGGCCCGGCAGAGGGGCCAGCAGCTCCTGCAGCAGAATGGGCCGCTGGCTCAGCGTCTCGCTGGGCTTTGGCATCATGACTCGTGCTGGCAGCAGGTGCAGTTGTGGCTTCTCTGTTGCTCGGATTGGTGTTGCTGCCGCTGGGATTGGCGCTGCTGTTGGTGCTGCTTGTGGATGCAACTGCGTTAGCCTCTGTGGCAACTTCACTTGGAGTGGTATTGCTGCTGCTGCTGGCGGCTGCTACTGCGGCTGCTGATTTGGCTGGCTGCTGTTTTTTCGTTGGGTTGCGCTTGGGTTCGTTGCTGGTGGCTTTGCCACTGCCAGAAATTCCGCCAATTAGCGTCGGCCAGTCACCAACGTTGCTGAAGTCGCTGGCCTGCAAGGAAATAAGTTGAGTATTAAGAATTGTGTACATACTATAAAAGCAGACAAATCGGACAGTGATGCTTCACAAGATATTATCATGGCCAACTTAAGATGTCTTTGGCTATATTTAGTTAATCGATTTCTCACCTTTTGGTTGACCTTCTTTTTGTCCTTTACCACGACTTTGGCAATCGCATCTGCCTGACTGGCATCAACTGTAAAATAAAACGAAACAAGCAGTTCTGGGGTTAGTATATCGAAGTACAAGAACAGCGTTTTAAAAATAAGAAATCAGGCCATGCCACGCCATATGCGTCGCCAAAATAGGGGTTCTCTCTCGGAGCATCAGGTCAACAGAGAACCCGAGTGGAAAACCAGAGAGCGGGAGGCACGTGAGGAGGAAATGAGAGCAAGTGCGAGAGAGCACTATCACATGGTGGTCAGGTTCTCATCTCGTGTACCAAAACAACGCGTTGGGGGGTAGCAAATATATAGGATTTTACAGAAAAGTACGTATACTTGGAAGGCAATTTATTGCTTAAGCTCAATTTACATGTGTTTTATTGGCTCAAAAATGATGGGGAAAACCAAAAAATCAGGTGACCCTTTATATTTTTCAAGTCCAGTTCTAACACTTACTTTGAGGTCGTTGAACTCAAAGAAAGCTATCCTGAATCCTATTTCCAAAATGAATAACAACACTAGATATCCATTTTAAAAATAGAATGATTTAACTGAGCACTATGCAATAAATAATTGAAAACAACATCCAATAAATTTGTTGACCGAGAGCTATCTATATTTATCGTCAATTCGTATCTTTTTTTTGACTATTTCACTTGAGATTAATTGAGTTTTTGTATGGAAAATTTTCCATCATGCATGGCACTTACCAGTTGTTGTTGTTGTTGCTGCTTCAGTGGTTGTTGCTGCTGCCGATGTTGTTGCTGGTGCCGCTGTTGTTGTTGTAGCTGCTGCTGTGCTAGATGACGTTGCTGTTGTTGTCTGTGTTGTTGTTGCTGCTGCAGCTCCCTGTTGAGGTTGCTGTTGTGTCTTTTTGTTGCTGGCGGTGTTCTGTGCGTTGTTGTTGTTGTTGTGGCTGGCAGTCTGCTTGTTTTGCTGTTGTTGCTGTGCCTTTGGCTGCAAAACACGTTTGTCCAATGGAGAAGTTCCTGCCTTTGGGCTGCCGGATTGTTTAGCCGATATCTAAAACATGAATACAAACAAATGGGAATGTGAGTTCTTCTTCATAAAAGGAAGTGACTCAAAAAATGGGTAAAAATCAATGCAACTTCAGCAACTTCACTCCCTATGCGCAAGTGTCCCTAACCCAGATTTAGTTCACGACAAGGGTGGCTATATGTATATTTTCTAGAGAGCGGCTAATTTCTCGATCTGGCACTGGAAAATTACCTCGTTTTTTGCACAAAAACTTTTGGTTTCTTTGCCTCACTTCACTTTTAATCAGTTCTCACTGCGGGCTTTTCCTTATCTTTGTTTGTTTTGCTTTTCATAGGCACTCTGCTATAACTAGCAATTAGCACAATTGTTGTTGTTGCTGGCGCTATAAACTTTTATTGGGCCTTTGGCTTTATTTAAACAATTGCTTGGTAATTCTGAACAACTGGTGCGTCCGTTCTCTCGAAACGTTGGATGAATTCTGTGCGATACGGACGGTCTTTCGATTCGAATATGCCTCCGCCTCTTTATCGCTCCCTCGCCCTCTCTCTTCCGCTGCTCCTCTCCACCTTTTGCTGTCCACGCGTTGACTACGTGAGCAAAAACGAAGACGGCGATATAGCACAACAACAAAGAAAGAGGCGGAGGCATAAAGCACAAAAACAACAACTGGTTTTAGAGCGCAACATAAAAAAGCGTACAGTGAAGCTTCTAAGACCTTAATTTAAGATTTAGCTTTTCTGGTGAGAGCGTAAACTTATGTTCTATACACATATGTATACATATGTACCTCGGTCACAGAGTATTTTATACTTAAGGTTATACAGAATGAAAATGTCAAAGAAACTATATGAACTTTTTAATATTATTTTTAAGCTCTTAAGATCTTTTAATGAGTAAACACCGTAGACCCTCAATTCAAAACAAAAACAAAACAGAAAACAGCCGATGCGCCGGTTCATGGATGCGTGAGAGAGAAAGAGAGGGAGTGCCGAAGAGCGAGAGTTTTGCCGGCGAGAGAAACAGCGCAGGGCACCCTGTACATTCGTATCTGTATCTTGGGTTTGGGCAGCGGGTACAGGTTTTCGCTCAGTGTGCGTACGTGCGTTTATTTTATCGTTTTGTTTTTGTACGCATTTTCTATTAATGTTGTTTTGGTCCACTTCGGAAGTTCACACACCCACAAATCTCACCTATCAATCGAACAACAGGTGTACGCATATCTCAAATTAAACAAAAACTTGCCGATTATAAACATAAACATTTGCCTTCTCGCTCACACATAAGGTACATGTAACGGATCATAAAAAAGAGGCTCAACAAAACAACATGTGATTTTCGGCACGTAGGCCATTTCCAAAGAGAGGAAAAATGGAGAAACGGAGAGAAGAGGAGTGGTGGAAAAACTTCAAAACAAAGAGATGATTGAAGGAAGAGTAAATAGAAAACAAAACAAAATGTTTCAAAGTAAAAAAAAAAAAATTGTAAATATAACATTAAAAGGTTTGCGAGGATAATATTTTTATAAACTTCAGACCTTATCACTCCATACATCATATTACTAAGCTGATATGATTTACCTATGTTCAAATTAAATCTTATCATGTTTGATATAATCAACCGAAGGGCAAGGTAATTTTTTGAGTTGATAAACAACAGGCGTTGTTTACTCTTATTTAAATCCTTTATCAAACTTTTTTCTTTAGTGCACCTTATTGTGTCAGCTCTATGCTGAAAACATTTAAACGCTTTCCATGCGATCGAACACGTATACATTTACTCTCAAGGATAAATGCATAATGTGTGCGAATAAGCAACAATTGCAATCAATAAGTTATTTTGAAAAAAGTTACATGAAAATAGAAGATGACCATGACTCTACACAATTGCAAGGACTTAATGAGTCATGTTGTGCAAACTCGAGGCTTCACTCCAAATTATAGGAAACAAACAAAGAAGGACACTTTTCCCATGAGTCACTCAGTAAATGTTAAGGCTTGTAATTTTCCATTGAACGTACGTACAATTAATACTTTACTACAAACATTCGATTAGCGAGCGGCACTTGAAAAGCACATGTTTTGAATTCTATATTTAAACGGCATGTTTCTTATCACTTTTGGACATTTCGAACCCCCACATAATTGCTGACGTACATAGACACCCAAGTGTCGTTAAATTTTGAGTACTATAATTCCTATAGGTATGGTTTTCAAACAAAGATTATAGACGAGATGGATGGTTCAAGGTCATTGATAGTAAAAACACGGATTCATGAGAACAGTGATTCATAAGGAACACTGAAAGGTTAATTCTACTATACACACTTGACTTTTTAAACACAACAAACTTGAACTTGCCTATAAATAAAGCTTTTGGTATTCAAAGTCCTTTCAGTTTTTTTGTGATTTTGGCGCACTTAGAAAGTATATTCCTGGGAACTCTGTAAATGCACCACGTCAGGCGATCGCTAAAAGACAACTGAGTCGCTTGCAATGCAAAGTGACTATTTTAAATGGCATTAGAATCAGACTAGCACGATAGCAACAACTGAAATCGTATAAAAATACGACAAAGAGAAGTAAAAATACAGGCAAACAATGGCCGAGAGCCGGGTAAACGTGCAAAAAGACCCACATTCAGCAATTCTGGAATTCTCGCGTTCTCTAAGTCAACAGTCAAATCGCTCGTAATCAGTTTTGAGGTTATAGTGCAGGCGGGGTCCGGGTAGTATTACCCCTTTTTGAGGTTGCCAGTCGGCCGACGGGTCTTTCTGCGTCTTAGAAATTGAAAAATACGAGGAGAATGCAAAAACCAGTCAATAATGCCGGCCGCAAAAAAAAAGTTATGTAAAAAACTTGTAAAGCAAAAACAATTCAAAAGTAAAACGTGCTCACCCATTTGAGTGGGCAAAAAAAGATAGAGATACGCGACCGACAAAAAAAATGTATACATATAATATATGGAGAACAAGTAGCCACAATCAGCTAAGCTTGCATGAATAATAATAAGTACAATAAGACAAAAAATATAATTGGCAATGCTGAATTCGAGATTGTTGACTAGAAGATAACCCAATAATCAGATTTAAATTCGAATTATAAATCCCTAGTTATTTACATTTAGTCACAACGCATATTACTGTGCTGTCATCGAAATTCGGTAAAAATTTCAGATAAAAGAACGTTTTAAGAACATTAGCATACCCTTTTTGCACCCAACTATTGATGGGTAGAAAAAAGGCCGCCCAGCTTTAAACGCAAACAAGTTAATGGCTATTATTCATTTTACTTTTCTATTTATAGTTTTATTAGTGATTAAATTGAGCGATTAGAGCGGACAATTGCTTTGGGGGAGGGGTATCGAGAGGTCCACAGTCAGGTTATTCGGATCCGTGGCGACGAACTCCAACGACACTCTTCGCACAAATACGAATAATGTATTCGGTTGTGGGGGGTGTGTGCGAAAAGTTGTTTACGTTCAACAGAGTCGAGCAACTTTATTAAATGCGTAGCAGGCTTAGGAACATAACTCTTATCGAGGCCCCAAGAGAGAGGTAAAAAAGCCAAGAACAAATACGCTCGAGGGGTATTGAATAAATTCCACATTCGGCATTTATTTGTGAAAGTAAAACAGATGGCGTCTTGAGGGTTTTCTGTAATTTTTGTATAAATATTTGAGGTAGTCTCATTCTATCACCTCATGGTTTTATAATAAGTCTCATTCGTCACGTCCCAGTATCGCTAGAATATATATAGTAAGCCCCATTACTCCTATCAGCAGTTTCTATAACTGAATGGAGCTTATATAAAATCTATTCGAAAACAGTTTGCACTGCGACCTTCGCTGTACTTTCACATTGATTCTAATGACCTGAGAAAACTTGGCGATTGTTGCGCAAATACGTTTTGTCGCTTTTTAACTGCAAAAAATTACAAAAAATATCCACAAGCAAACAATCGATAAGAAAATAAGGTAGCGGTTCTCTGTTGTCAAGATAATAAATTAAATGCATGTTATATGGGGTACTACGCAGTTTTTCTGGACTCAACGAAATAATGGTTTGTTTTCCATCCATCTGTTAAATCACATGGGTTATCCAATAGATTTTGAAGTGTATCTTATCTAAAGTGAAACTTTCGAGATATTCTGTAATCTGCTTTGATTTCAGTGGTTAAATAATAGGAAAAGTACTCTACAAGTGATGCAACTCTCCTAAGAATTCACCTTTATTACTCCAGCGATTTTTATCTGTTAAAATGTTGTAATAGTATTAGACGAAAAAATGGAATAAACGGATTAGTTGTGACAACTTCGTAAAAACATTTATTTTTAAAAAGTTTGTATATGCTTAATAAGTATTTCTGTAAATATTTTTCTGTTTTCCCCTTGACAACAAGGGAAAATCTTGAAAGATCTTATGCACAAAGAAATAGGAAGTCGCCAGTATTTTTCTGGCAGAGAAAGGAAAAAGAAGAATTCGATATGAAAGGCAAATATTATATGCCTGCACATGTCAAACAGAGCTCATTGATAATAATATGAAAGGTGATTGCGACAAGGAGATTATTGGAGAATAAATCCGATTATAATTTGGGATTTTCCAAAAACAATGTAAAACTACTTAATAAAAATCTGATACCCAAATGCATATGAATCTATCTTATAAAGAGTGGGAGTTTGTTCGCCTCTCGTATCTTGGAAATTATCATGTCGCTTTTGTGTGAAATATGAGTAACACCGCAAATTGATATTTTTCAAAAGCGAAAAAAAAATTAACCCACAACGAAACGTCAACGTAATTGAGACAAATTAATGTTATTAATCTCCGGTTGCAAACGAATGATAAAAATAGAACGCTGTATTACAATGACTTTTGTCTCTTGGATCAACAACTACAATGCAAGTATTAGAGATAATTGAGATATAATTGGGTTAGATTAATAGCAGTGCAGGTTAAGGTTTTAAACTATTTTACTAAATAAAATTGTTAAAGTCATAAGAAAATTTATAATATCTTTTAACTAAACAATATCTTAAATATATATTTAATAAAACAAATAGTGTAAGTATCTAAAAATTAGTATATTCTTCACATATAGTGATTGTGTATGTAAAAAAAATTCCTGCCTAAATTGTTCCTAGCCTTGTTTTTTCTGCTAACCCATTAACTTTAATTAAGTTGTTAAGGTGATTGCATATTTACTTTCGTTTTCATGTTTGTTATTGTTTTGTTCCACTCAAAAAGATGAGAGAGCGAGAGAGAGAGAGAGAGCTTGAGTGCAAGTTCTTATCACTCTGCTTGCGAATCGGGCGTCCGCTACGTAACGTAAAGCAACGTAACGTTATTAGGAGAGAGCGAGATAATGCTACAGAGGGTGCTTTCCACTCGTGCCGCTAAAATATCAACAAGTATATCAAGTTTTAACTTCCACGTCGGCGGCACACGCTTTTCAGCCTTCCAGCTGTATGTGTATTATTTTAATATAGTTATTTATTCCGCTTAATCGCCTCGCAACAGCACCGCACTGCTGTTTTTCACCACGTGGTGAGTTCGATAACACGTGCCGTTTCAGCTGTTTACGTTTATACTTCAAATTTTTTATTCCCGATCTTTGGAGCCCACTTGTTAATGGGAACGCGCTGGAAAATAGTGGGAGTCTACTTTATTTTCCATCCGCGAAGTCTTCCAAGGCACACGTCAACGGCAACTGGCGTGGAAAACAAATTTGAATGGAACGGCCGCCCTGCAGTTCTGCCGCTGCGCAGCTACAGAAACGCCGACGTCGACGGTGCAGTCATGAGATAAAAAACAAGAATCGAAGCTTACCAATTTAAGGGCAAATTTAGTTTTTAGCCCTCTAATCAAGCTTAAAACACTTGTTAGCTCTTAGGTTAGTGGGTTTAAAAAAAAATATTTATATAAAAACATTTATAACATTGCATGTCGAAAACAAATCTCGATTTTAATTTAATTAGTTTAATTGTTGCATTATAATTGTAAGCAATTAAATAAAATTATAAAAACAAAAAACTTCCTGTTACTTAACCTAGACTTTACATAAATGTGATTACAAAAATCATTTTAAAAACAGGTGACAAACAATTAGTTATAAACCGCAGTTTATTTCCTTTGTTTTGATGGAAGTTTCAAGTAAATAATATATGTATGTATACATTATATTTTGTACAGGGTATCTTCAATTTCAAGCTAGTTCAGTTAAGAACCTCCCAATTAATGCGATTTGCATATGAAAGAATGTCAAAAGTGAACGAGATGTTTGCATATCCATTTAAAGTGGCACAAAACGCTTTCGAAAGCAAGCGAATTTAAAACTCCTCGCTTGACAACAAGTTAAGTTAGACGTGTAAAATGTTGGCTTTTAGCTTTTCCACAGGAAGAAAATTAGCCACACCTTTTTGTTGTGTGTTTGTGTTTTTCCCTTTTCATTCGTTCTCTGTTGACTTCGCTGTCTCTTTTGCGCCCGCTTTCGCTTTGTTTGTGGGCTGGGAAGAGGGAGGGAGAAGGCGGAGGGGCGTTGGATAGATAAACGACAAGCGGCTGACCTTGACATTTATTTTTAGTTGAGAAATATTTAACTTTTTCTCTCGTTTGTTGCGACACCCAAAACAGATGTGCCATTATAGATATAGAAAAAACAATTGAGAATACAGAACAGAAATACACACGGGCTAGACTAAAAAAACATATTGAATTAGACAAAACCTTTTCTATTCATCTGAGCTTTTGTTTAAGGGTAAGCGGATGTGCCTTAACATTAATAAATTAAATTAAATACTTTAATATCAATGAATAAAATGATCATACAAGTTTGGAAAACATTTGTATGAGTAAAGAACTCAGTTTCACACCTCGGAGGTATTACAGTAATTGAGCTAAACCAAAAATGTTTTTTTACTTGTCTGCCAAAAAAAAAACCTATTGCTTCTCGAGGCAAAATACAAAAAACAACCACAGAAATGCCGGCAATTTTCGCCAGCATTGCATAATAAAAAACAGCCGAATAAATAAAAATAAATGCAATTAAACGTTTGTTTCTCTCACTTCTCGCGTTTCGTTTTGTTTTGATGACAAACTGCTTCGTCCGTTTCTTGCCAGATATTATGCAATGGAAAAGGCCTGCCCGTGTATCTGTATCTATGAGGTGCAATTTTGTAATCGTCAGCGAGTATTGGTTTTAGCATAACGATCATAACGACGATACTGGCAGGAAAAACCACAACAAAAAAGCGGAAAACGTGTTTCCACTGCGCCTCGTGTTTGTTGTCCCCCTTCTTCGACTCTTGTTTATCAGTCGCCCTGCTTTGCTCCCTATCTTCGTCTCCGCCATTCTACGCGCATTTGTTTACCAACAATAAAAACACACTCACATCAAAAATAGTGGTCACACACACATGGACATGTAGTTCCATCATTTTTAAGACGCAATTTGGACAAACACAAAATGAAACCGAAATTCGAGTAACAACAAAAAAACGTGCACATCTCTTGGGGATCCCTAAAAACATCTTATCACTTCTACAGTGAATACCCGCTTATTATAGGCTGTGTTTCAGTTCAAATTGATTATGCTAAATACCATATTAAACTGTAGGCCAGTCGCAATTGTTCAAAATTGTAGAACCTATTACTTCATCACATTTCTACGCTTAAATTATTGATGAAGCGATAAAATCATTAGACCTCAAGGTTCTTTCACATTTCATTATAAATTTCTAAACGCAAAAATAAAGCCGTTTGTTGCATATTTCAGTGCTAATGCAAATTTAAGTGTCTGTAGCTTGTTTTTTTTATTTATCCTACCAATAAAATCAATATTCCCATTTAAGAGAACAGTTCCCTAGCCAATGTCGCATTTCGAAAGTTATGCATAATCAATAAGAAGTAAATTAATTAATTACTCACCTTCCACGCGTTGACCTTGGGCGGTGGTGCGGCAATGAATCGCTTGGGTGGCGGAGCTGCTCCAGCCGAACCCTTCTCCCCTCCCGCCTGCTGGTCTCCGTCGCCGGACTTGGCCTCGTTGCCGCTGCTGCCTGCTCCCTCGATGCTGGCACTCGGCGAGGTGTCCTTTCGCTCCTTGTGTACTTTCGGTCCTCCGGAAGCGGCAGGAACTCCAGGATTGGCTCCTCCAGCAGCTCCAGCTACGGATTTGCGGGGACTGCCGCCGCGCGGAGCTCGTGGCCTCACGGACTGCTTGCGATCGGGGTCTGAGGATCCGGGAGCCCGTCTGCCAGCCTGCTGGGGTTTCTGACCATCGCCACGGCCTCCGGTCGGCTGCTGATCGCGCGGCTTCTCCTTGCGCGCCTTTTTGCGATCGCGTCGATGGTGGGAGAGCACGGGCACAAAGTCGTTGTTGTCGTCCAGTTCCGATGAGTTCTCGGCGGTGTTGTCTCCCCCGGAGGCGGCGGCACGCTTCTCCCCCGTCTGGGCCAGGCTAACACTGCTGGCCAGCGGGGTTTCCACGGCGGCTGCCTCGGCGGCGGCGGTCTCCTCGCTCCACGACTTGAAGCTCTTCAGGTTCGGCTGGTTCTCTTTGTTGTCCACGGTGGCGTTGCTGCTGGTGCTGCCGGTCTTCTTGGTCTCCAGGTTCTGCACAACATTGGCGTACGAAGTGGTGGAAGCGGCGGCGGCAACCACAGGGGCAGCTGCTCCCGCGGTCGATGGCGTCTCCTCCTTGCTGGACATGCTCCTCGGTTGTGGCTGCTACTCCTCCCGGTGATTCGGTTGCGGTTTCCTCTCCAGAGTGGGCAGCAGATACGCTGCTCCTGCTCCGGCTGCGTCAGCGGCTGATCCTCGTTGTCGGGTCGGGGAAACTCTTGGCTGCTTCCTTGCCTGCTCAACGGGATGCGGTGGCTCGAGAGATCGGCTTCCAAGCTGCAAAAGGTTGGCAACAGAGAAGTCTGGTTAGCTGTTTCGTCACAGTCGAACTTTAGAAACTTCAATTACCATAAAGGTAATGGAATTTGTGTAATCAAGAGGTCTAACCCAAGTTGGCATTGAAATTTATATAGTTTTAAAAATCAACTTAAAAGTGGTGAATATTTTCTAATAAATATGTTGACCCCACAGCAAGTACAATATAACTTTAGGCTTTAGTGAAAATATTTTGTTTGTCATTACTTTTAAATAATAGCAGATGCATGTTACCTTTATGATGAAAATCAATAGAAATTTACTGGCAATAAAAAGATACTTATATATATTTCAACAAAACTTATTTTTCGCATCGATGGAATTCTTTTCAATTTCTTATAGGCTGACTTCACTGTATTTAGTAGGGTTTTCCTATGCGATTGCGAGTTTAGCGAACTCGAGGTGTTTTGTTGCTCAATTATTGCAGCGATTAAATTCAAGTTCACCCATCTCGAAATATTATTTATTTACTTAATGCAACTATTGCAATGCACACACACACACTCTACCTACACCGCACTTTGAACTGATGAATTCCTTCAATGGGGATTACTATTTTCTGGGACTGCAGAAAAAGCCTCCCGAGGAGTGCGGCGACTTTCTAGGAACTGGCCATCGGAAAACGCCTCTCAACTAGCGGCCTTTAATTTTCCGCGATTTTCCGCTCGACGAATTGGATTTGGTGGCACCAATTTGCACGACTATACTATATAGAAGCGGAGAAAATCCGTATCGAGGCACGACCAATCGGGAATTGAGAGGTATTATATTATTATGCAGCAGCCACACAGTAGTGTTCACAAGAAGAAGAAGAAGTGAGGTTAGATTTTCGCCCCACACAAGAGGAAGAGGAAGAGCGAAAAGAACAAGAAGAAGAGGCAACACAACGCTAAGCGACCAGGGCTGGCGAAACAGAGCTGCCCACTTGCCAGGTAAAACCAACGTTGCCGCCTTACGTTTCTACGTTAAGGTTTTTTGACAGGAAATTGACCAGAACGACACAAATATAATTAACAACAGTAATAGCGCCGTTGTCTTTGTTGCTAAAAAGCATAAAAACAAGAATCACTTTTGTTTTTTCCTATCCAAAGATTATGCAATAACAAATGCACTCGCTTTACGACCTGCATTGATGTTAGTGCCGCCCTGGTTTGATTAAAAAACAGCTGATTTGGGCCTGCACTCGCCTCGAATTTCAAAAGATGCACGCGGTCACACACACTTCCAAAGATTTAACTTAAATACGCACCAGAAAATGAAACGAAACCCAGAATTTACGCACAAATTCTGCTCTCTTTCTCTATCTCACTTCTTGCTCGTATGTTCACTACGCACTTTCCGCTACGCGTGTCGTGTGTGTCTGCGTGCGTGTGTTGTTATTGTTGCTTTGCTTTTGCGGGTTTCCTCGCACATACACTTTCGCACTGCTCGTTGCCTCTCGCTCGCACTCACTCACGCGCTGCTGGGCAGAACGTTACGAATATTATTTACGCGATTTTTAGCAATTCCGCACACACTCGACTTGTTGTTGGTCGCGCTGATCTTTTACCGTTCACTGGAGTTGTCGATTAACCGAAATTAATCAATTAATTGGAGCATTATACCGCCGAAAAGAAAATTAAAATCTCGGTTACCAGACATGTGGTTCTACGGGTCCAAAAGAAAAAGAGCAGGGTTGTTGTTCAATTCCATTGCGTTGTGTTGCGATATATATCAGTTGCAGGGATGGTTACCATTTCTAGGGATGGGGCAAAAATGCGGGAATTTCATTTTTGTTTTCAAAATCAGTTTTGAAAATGTATCTGGACAAATGTTCTCTAACGGCCATCGCATTTGGTTTTTGTTTTGATGACCCGCACAAAGATAAAAATATGAGCTGAAAACTGTAATTCAGGTGATGTATCGATAGCATTAGAGCAGAGTCCCAGGTATTACATTTATTTTTAAGATAATTTTACTTTTAAGTTGTTGATTCTTTTAAAAATTTGTATTTTTTGGATTAAAAATTGTTTATATATAAATATGAACTGTAATAAGCATTACAACGTGTTCAACGTAACGCTGGGCCTTTCTTACGTGTTACAGCAATAACGTGGCGTATCTTTTGAGTCTTTTTTTAAAATAACTGACTTTTCATCTTATTAAATTATATATTCCTTTAAAAATTTGTATTTTTTGGATAAAAAATTGTTTATTTTAAAACAGTTGAAAATAGGAATTGTAATAAGCATTACGTGTTCAACGTAACGCTGGGGCTTTCTTACGTGTTACAGAAATAACGTGACGTATATTTTGAGTCACTTTTTAAAATAACCGACTTTTCGTCTTATGGCTCAAAGAATTCTAGTTTCCAGATAAATTTGTAACCCCACAACCTGTTTAGGTTTGTGATAAAAAAAAAAAACATTTTTATGAAAATCTGGAAATATTTATATTTCAATTGCACATTCACAAAAAATATAGTTTCACAACACAAAAAGGTCAGTAAGGGCTACAAAATGCAGGGGGTTAACAGATCCGGCTTTAGCCGGACGGGCACAGCGGGTTAATCAAAAAGTTCGGCTTTGAATCCGTGAAAATACCAAAAGAATATCAACTTAGGTCCTAGGGTTTGTTTTTTTCAGGCAGATACTAAAATGGAATTATTGATGCCGGCAATGCCGTTGATTTTGCCGTCTACTCCACGGTCACCGACTTGGCCAGGTTCCTGGGGCAGTCGACATCGCATCCCCGCAAAACGGCAATGTGGTAGGAGAGCAGCTGCAGCGGAATAACCGTCAGCACTCCTTGAAGGCAGTCCACCGTCCTGGGGATCTGCAGCGACCGAGTGGAAAAGGACATTGTTTCATTGTCGCCTTCCTCGCAAATCAGGATGGGTCTGCCCTTCCGCGAAGTCACCTGCTGCAGGGCATTCATGCACTTGGTGTACACAGGATCCCGCAGGACGATCATCAGCACCGGCATCTCGTCGTCCACGAGCGCCAGAGGTCCGTGTTTCAGTTCGCCAGCCAGGATTCCTTCGCTGTGCATGTACGTAAGCTCCTTGACTTTCTGCAAGGCAAAGGAATTGGTAAATAGATATTAAATTCAACACAAAAAATGTCCCCCTTTGTTGGCCTCTATTAAAATCGCATTATTTAAATTATATATAAGAGACACCGGGTTGAAGTGCACTGATCAATAAATTAAACTGTCATAAAAAAGTTAATTGAATTGTTGACGCCGGTTATTTTCCACACATCTTTAAGAACAAATGGCTCTTTAAACGGTAATCAAATATGATCATGTAGATGAATCACGACGCAAATGTACTATTGTTTATAAGATAGGAGAAACTAATTCGAAAAAGTTACCGATAAGAAACTTCGTGCGAAAAAAGATTTCTTTAGCCATACACAATAACAACTTCCGGTGAGATAAGTCGCAATAATTCCATTTAGAAATCCAATCTTACCAGTGCTCCCTCCAAACAGGTGGCGAAGTTGAAGCCCCTGCCCATGATGAGCAGCGATTTGTGCTGGTACAACTCCTTGGCGAGCTCCTGCACCTGCGAGTTCAGCTTTAAGACGGTTCTGATGTGCTCATCCAACTGGGACAGTCCGTCGATGATCTCCAGCCGCCGCTGCTGTAGGGACAAGCGATCCTCCGACATGACCAGAGCAAACATAACCAGAGAAATGAACTGAGAGGTGTACGCCTTGGTGGAGGCCACTCCAATCTCGGGCCCCGCGTTGATGTGCACTCCGCAGTGCGACTCCCGGCAGATACTGCTGCCCACCGTGTTGGTCACGCCCACGATGAGGGCTCCCCTTTGCTTGCAGTACCGCAGAGCCATTAGAGTGTCGGCTGTCTCCCCGGATTGGGAGATAAAGAAGCACACATCGTCGCGGAAAATAGGAGTATTTCTGTCCAGGAAATCAGAGGCCAGTTCCACCATTACGGGCAGTTCCGTGAGTTCCTCCAGGAGCTGCCTGGTGGCCACTGCGCTGTGATAGGATGTTCCGCAGGCAATCAGCATCAGACGGCGACAGCGCTTGATCTCGGGAATGTACTCCTTGATTCCTCCGAGAACAACGGTCTGCGTATCGAACCGCATCCTTCCTCGCATCGTGTTCACCACGGATTCCGGCTGCTCGAAGATCTCCTTCAGCATGAAGTAGTCGTAGTTGCCCTTCATGATCTGCTGGATCTCCATTTTCAGCGTGATGATCTCCCTGGCATGCGGATCATCCGAGGATTTGTTCAGGCGATGAATGCTGAGGGTGCCATCACTCTTTACGGCGGCCACGTCGTCGTCTTCAAGATATATCACCCTGTTGGTGTGCTCTATAACTGCAGAGGCATCCGAGGCGAAGAAGTACTCCACTTCCTTGCGCTCCAGCGGCTGGAACTCCGCACTGCAGTCGCCGGAGGGCAACAATTGAAAGGCCTGCTGGGCAGGTTGGCCATGTGGCCGATGGGCCTTGGCGTACAGGATGGGAATGTGGTCCGTGGCCAGCTTGGTTTTGGCCTTAATGCCAACCAGCAAAGGCGAACCTCGTCGGGAGGCCACACACTCGCCGGGAAAGTGCTTCGACTTGAAAGCGATAGCAAAGGCGCCCTCCAGCTGCTGAATTGCCTGCTCCACGAGCTCGCCAAAGGTGTAGCCAGGATGCTGCTGCCACAGGTGGTGCACCAGCTTGGCTATCACCTCCGTATCCGTGTCCGATTCGAAGACGTATCCCCTCTTCTCCAGCAGAGTCTTCACATCCTTGTAGTTCGTGATGATGCCGTTGTGGACCACAACGAAGCTGTTCTCCTGATCGGATCGCTGCGGATGAGAGTTGACCTCGGAGGGCACTCCGTGGGTGGCCCACCTAGTGTGGGCGATTCCTATGTGGGTGTCGATGGGCAGGGAGTAGTCCCCGCCCAAGCAAACCTCTGCAACCGCATCCTCTAGGACCTTCACCTTCCCGGTTCTTTTCACCAGGAGTATCGACTGTGCTTCCCCGGAATTCAGCGCATCAATCGCTATTCCCGTGGAGTCGTAGCCGCGGTACTCCAGTCTTTTCAGGCCCTGCAGCAGGAGATCCAAGACTTCCTGCCGTGATTTCGGAGTCAAGTAATTTAAGTAAGCGAAAATCCCACACATTCTGAAATTTTGTTCGTTCTCTGGTGAATTTCCACGTCGCAAGTGAACTTTCCGGTCAGCTGAGGCTGATTTTTCGCTTCTGTCGCGGCTGCAATGCGATTGTCGTGTTTTTATCGCAACAGCTCACTGGAAACTTTTTGTTTTTCTCTGATAAAACAAATTATTTGCTTTTGCCCAAAAGAACACGTCTTGTCTTGCTCTCCCACTCGCACTCACACATGCGCCGATTGCGCGCTCACACACCCACACACACGTGCGGGACGCACCATGTAAACATTGAACTTGGTGTGACCGTATGAGAGTGAGGGCTGGAAAACTTTGAAGCTGAACTGTGATTTAAAGTTATCTTTTGACTACATGGGTTTATTTGCATTTTATTTTAGACATCGACAAACTATGCTTGCTTACAAAACTGAGTTTTGTGTTTTTTTAATTTAAATTTTTTAATAACTTATAATAATAATACTTTTTAATATTACATAAAATTGGGGGGAAGCACTACAATGCACTCTTGAAACATTCTAAGTTTGAATTAAAACAACAATCGAAAAAAAGCCCGAACCTTGTATTTAGTATTCATATCTGAAGTATTTTTAAATGCTTTTTAACAGAAATATAAAATAAGAGTATTAATTATGTGAGTAATAGTTTTTAAAAGTTTTGAAATTATTAAAATATATTTATCATGCATCGATGTTGCGAATACAACCATCGATAAGAATTGCTGTTTCAATCGGCCCATGTTCCACCTTTAGTTTTCGAAAAAGTAGGAAACTCTGCCATTGTGCAACGCGAAAACGGGAGTAAATACATTTTATAACTGCATTTAGTGGCAAAAAGCGGCGAAAATAATGACGGTAAACAAGCGCGACGCGAGTACAACGCGACCGCGGTGTTTCTTCGACATTTCGCTGGGCGGATTGGGCGTGGGGCGCATTGTTTTTGAGCTCTACGGCGATGTGGCGCCGAAAACGGTGGAGAACTTCCGGGCACTGTGCACGGGCGAAAAGGGACTGGGATTGACCACCGGCAAGAAGCTCCACTACAAGGGGGTCATTTTCCACCGGGTGGTCAAGGACTTCATGGTCCAGGCGGGCGACTTTTCCGCAGGAAACGGAACCGGCGGCGAGTCGATTTACGGCGGCACTTTCGAGGGTGAGTTTGGGGGTCTCGGGGCAATACTGTACATACAATGCATACATATATACGGTTGTTTGTGGTCAGAGAAAAATCAATACAGTGGGCCTTCGAATAGGTGAAATCAAAGCAAAATATAAAGTAAAATGTGGCTAGCGAAAGTTTAATTGCTACGAATCCTTCTCAAAATGAAATACAATATGAATTTCAGTTATTCTACCGACAAATTATTTCATTATATGTACCTAAATTAAATCTGTGGTAGAGTGAACACTGTTCGTTCCCCCTTTTGAACTTCGTACAATGTCTGGCAAACTAAATATACATATCAATTTTGAAAACCTACCGCTATCATCCACTTAATTTAATCGAGGAAAACAGAATAGTTTTGGCACAACATAGATATACATTATTTAATTAAATACAAAAGATTCTCATTTAAATGTACAATTTTATTTATATGTTTCCATCAAAAATAGATGAGAATTAGATAGGATACATTTAGGTCAAATATGCAAATAACTTGGGGTATTCAAAAATGCACAATGTATGTGTACACTAGAAATTTAAAATGTAACTTGTAGGGTATCTTTTTTACTGGCATGTTTGTACAATAAATAATAGATTCTTAGTTCGGGTTTAGACCTTTAACTTTGTAACCATAATATTGGTACTAGCTATCGATTTTAATAAAATAATGCTTATTATTCTTATTTCAGATGAATGCTTCGAAAAGAAGCACGATCGCCCGTTCCTATTGTCAATGGCCAACCGGGGAAAGAACACCAATGGCTCGCAGTTTTTTATGTAAGTGCTCTGATATAGGACCCTAATTAGCGGAGTCCCGAATAACCCCGCCGTAAACTTAGTTTCAGTTCTGTTTCAGGCACCGATTGTATTCAGCTAAACTCTCTTCGCCTCTTTTTAATCTTTATATTTAAACCTCTGTTGTTGTTCATTAATCTATTGCCATTTAGCCCTAGCCAGTAGAGCGTACTTGCGTCCCACTGACCAGCGGACAGATCCCCCTGTCCACCACCGGCTGATGCACCACTACCATCCGCCGTTCCAAATGCATTCGGTCTGTGGGTCCAGAAACCAAGCGAAAGCGGAGGCTTGGTTCTCGCTCTTTTTTGGTCCTTGGTCCACGGTATTCGCGTGTCTCTCTCTGCCCCTCGGCTCCTCCTGGATCTTTGCCGGGACCTGGACCTGGCCGTCTCACTGGATCCGCCGATGATCGCTCGATCCATCCGTGTTGGCCATGGCCAGCTGCAGCGGCTCTCGTGGTTGGTGGCTTGCCAATATCCTGTGTGCCACCTGCTCTACACCTTGATACCCCTTAAACTCTGTTGCACATGACATTGTCTCCACCAACCACCGACCACCTCCACAACAACAACAGAAACAACAACAACATGAGCAACTACTGAACCAACAACATCGATTTCAACTACAACTGCCTACAGCAGCCCAACAACCAGTTAGCCAAAGTGTAAAGAATTTTTTCTCTTCTTCTGTTTCTCATTGTAGTACAACACAGCCTGCGCCACATTTGGACAAGTAAGTTCTCTTTTATTTTAAGCCAGAAATAAATAGTTAACAATATATATTCCTTGTTGCAGTATCCATGTTGTATTCGGTCAAGTTATTTCCGGCCAGGAACTGGTGCGACAATTGGAGGATCTGCCCATTGATCGGAACTCCCGCCCGCTGCAGGATGCCGCCATCGCCAACTGTGGCGAACTCGTCAGACAGACAAAGGGTATAAATACTCTATATTTTCAATAGCATCTCCTATATATTTGTATTTACTACTCAGCCAAAAAAGAGAAGAAGCGCAAGAGGCGATCCACGGCAACGGATGAGTCAAACAGCGAGGAAAGTGAGGAGGAGGTGAAGGCCGAGCGCAAGGACAAAAAGAAGAAGCGCAACCGCAAGGAGACCAAGTCGAGCGATAGCGAAGAGTATGTTCCAATGGGGAATTACAAATACAAGTCTTGATATCTGTAAATAACTTATGACTCGTACTTCGTATAGCAATGACACAGCGCGTGGCAATGGAAGGCACGAACAGAATCCACCGGAAGATGACGAGGAGCGCGAGGAGGGCGAACTCCATCCGCTAGTCACAATCACTAAGATAGATCCTAACGAGATACCAGAGGTAACTACTGATATTACTTGAAGAGACATTAAATAATTGCTTTGATTCTTATCCAGGTATCGAACAAATTCCTAATGCGCGGTGAGAGATCCAGGTCTCGGGATCGCGAGGATCGTGGCGGTCGAGATCGCGATCGAGGCAGAGATCAGGACCGAGACCGCAATCGCAACAACTTTGGTTGGTCCAAGAAACAGGCACCGCCAACATCGCGTAGCGGACGCAATGTCAAAGGTCGTGGAGTGTTTGTAAGTTTGTAATACTCAAGCATTAAACAATAATTAAAATGAGGCACCTTTTCCAGCGTTTTCGTACTCCGTCGCGCAGTCGATCGCGAAGCACGACTCCTCCGCACTGGAAACACGCCCAGAAACGCACCATCAAGCTGTCCGATCTGGAGCGCCTCGAGGAGGAGAACAAGCTGCGCGAGGAGGAGGTGAAGCGGCGTGAACACGAGCGAAAGCGCCGCCACGAGGAGGCCTCCAAGAATCCCAAGCAGTCGTTCTTCGAGCTCTCCCATGCCAGCACCTATGGCGGCAAGGTGACGCCGGAAAAGTCATCTCCAGAACATAAATCAAAGCCCAAGGAGACATCAGAACGCGGCAAGCCCAAGGATAAGGAGAAGGAGAAGCCCAGCGAGAAGGAAAAGTCGAAGGAAGTGACTCCCTTCAAGCGTCGCAAGTCGATGGATATGAACGCCTTGGATTACGAGCAGCAAACAGAATCCGAAGCAGAGTCAGAGGACGCGGAGCGGGAGCAGTTGAAGGGGAAACCAACGAGCAAGCAGGATACCAAGGTGGAGCCATCGACCAGCAAGGATCGCAATTCGAAGCGTGAGGATCGAAAGCCTGAGGAGAAACCCAAGGCCAAGCGCAGCCGCTCCCGAAGTCCTCGCCGCCAGTCCCCTCCTCGTCGCCAGCAGCGATCGCCCGCCAGGCGCCCTGGCCAGAATCCCAACCAGAATCAGAATCAAAATCAGAATAACCGCGGCAATCGCCGCAATCCGTTTGCCGACAGAGATCGACGCCGTCGTTCGCGCTCACAGGAAAATCGCAATCGATTCCCCATGTCGCCGGTCAGGGGAAGGAACTCTCCCAGCGGAGATCGCCGCCGTCAGCAGCGTTCTCGTAGCCAGGGACGCAGGCAGGATTCGCCCAGCCAAAGACGGCAGGAGTCGCAGAACAAGAAGCGACAGGACTCCCCGATCCGCAAGCGCCGTGATTCGCCAGAAAGAAAGCGGGAGGCTTCTCCGAACAAAAAACGAGACAATTCTCCGGGAAGGAAGCCTGAGGAATCCCCTCGCAGGGATCGCAAGGATTCGGCAAACAAAAAGCGAGAGGAATCGCCGGGCAAAAAACGAGAGGACTCTGCCAACAGAAAGCCAAAGGATTCCGACAGAAAGCGGGAGGACTCTCTTAGCAAAAGACAAGATTCGCCGGGCAGAAAGCGGCAGGAGTCAGCGGACAAAAAGCGGCAGGACTCTCCAGTGAAAAAACAGGATTCGCCTGGCAAAAAGCAACAGGAATCCACAGACAAAAAGCAGCAGGATTCCTCAGTCAAAAGACACGATTCACCAGGACGGAGGCGCAAGGATTCGCCTGACAGAAAGCGCAAGGATTCCCCAGATAGGAGGCGCAAGGATTCGCCGGCCAGGAGACGCCAAGATTCCTCCGGCAGAAGGCGACAGGATTCGGCGGGCAGGAGGCGCCGCGAATCCCCAGGAAACAGACGCAGCCGCGGTCGTCGGCACAGCTCCTCGCGCAGTCGCAGTGCCTCGAACAGTCGCTCCCGTCGCCGCCGCTCGCGCAGTCCGCTGCCGAAGCTCACATCTGCACTGCCCATGGACGAGGACCGCGAGAAGTCGGCCAGGGAGAAGATGCAGAAGCGCGTGGAGGCCGCGCTGCTGATGAAGGAGCACATGCGCAAGGAGATCGCCAAGGAGGAGGAGCGCCGCCTGGAGAAGCAGCGCCAGGACGACATGGAGAAGGAGCGCACCACCCGCGAGCTCAACGAGCTGGAGCGCCTCAAGGCGGAGACCCTCCGGAAGCTGGAGGACGAGGAGGGAGCGGCTTCCGCTCCGGCGGATGCCGACAAAGCAGCCGCCGCGGGTAGCGAGGCCAAACCAGATGCCACCGCCAGTCGGAGCAAGCGCGAGTCCAGCGAGGATCGACATCGCGACAAGAAGCGCAAGCACAAGAAGTCCAAGAAGTCCTCGGCGCGCTCCGAGTCCGAGTAACCAAACAAACTAATCGTAGACAGTAGTTGAACCACAAACAGCGGCAAACCAAGTTTTTGTTCCTCCAACTTCAGACTTTTACACGAAATAGCAATTGTAAAAAAACGCCCGACCCAAGTTTTTGTATGAGTCCGTTCAATAAAGGAAACTTCACTGTAAAGTTGCATTTCTTATTTATTTATTTGTCGAAGTTAAAGGGAGTTTAAAAACTTCTACTCTTAAAAATATTAAATTAGAACTCAATAAAAATATTTGTTATACGTTTTATAACAATGACAAAATTAGTAAGGACCCAAACCAATTGCCTCAGCACTGGTTAAAGTGCTACCCATAAAACCAATGGTGTGTTTGCACACTTGGCACCACTATTAACTTGAGATAACAGATGGCGCCATCTCTATCCACAAGATACAATTAAACATTTTAACGTTCTGAAAAATAATTTCCAACATTGTTTCCCGAATCATCTATATTTTTTTAAAATTCTGAGATAGATTTATCAAAACCTTAAACAGTAATTGAGTTTCCTGGGTTGACAACTAAACTCTTCCTTAAACACACTTTTTAACCGAAAAGTCCTTGTGTTTGCCTAACACTCCCATGTTTTATATGCGTGTCTTTTTAAGGCTAAGACGACCCTCTGGTTACGAGGGACAAACAATGCCAGGAAGAAAAACAGTCAAGCTGCAAGTGCAACTTTCGGGCTGTTGTGGCTGTCGTTGCAGGTTGCAGGAACCGAGACTTGTTGTTGGTTGCATGTTGCTGCTGTTGCTGTTGCTGCTGTTGCTGTTGGTGTTGGTGTTGGTGTTGGTGTTGGTGTTGGTGTTGCTGCTGCTGCTGCTGCTGTTGCTGTTGCTGCTGTTGCCGTTGCTAGTTGCTGTTGGGTGGTTGCTGGTTGCAAGTGCCACTGACAAACACAGCTGTCGAGTGCGGCGCTTAAATGGCAAGTAAACTGCAGCCGAGCGTTTGCTTTGCTAATTTTCCAGGCCGCCTTTCAAGTGCCACGCCCCTCCTCGACAATTGTGTGGGCGTGGGCGGGGGCGGCAAGGTGGGCGTGGCTGTGCACTTGCTGCTTATTATTTGCACTCGGCAAGGCCAACAGCATAATAAATTGGGCGACAGGAGGCGGTTGGTCGGTGTCGGGGTGAATCGGGAAATCTTTTATTCATGAACGCCGCCCCTCCGCCGCCCACTGCGTCCATAAAAATTGCACAATTTGAAGCGCTTTTCCCCTCCCCCCTCCCACTTCCCCTCCCCACGAGCCGCTTAGTCTGAGACGTATGTCCAAAGGAAAAGAAAAAAAAGCGGAAGGCAAGAAAAGAATTTACGCGCCTCGGGCGGCTCTCTCAAGGATTTCGGCAATGGCTCTCTTGGAGTCCTGCCTCAAAAAAAAAAAAAAAGAACCCCACTTGCGGCTGCAGGCGATAGTTGCATAAATCATAAAAGCCGTACTTGTTGTTGTCCTTGTCCCGCACCTCACTCCTCCTCATTTCGTCCTTCCTCTTCCCTTCGAACCCCTGAACCTCCCCTCGCATCCTGAGCAGGACTTTACGACACTTAAGCAGCGCAAGTGGGCGGTGAGAGTGTCTCCAAATGTCTGAATTTGATTGCACGGCCACAACAGCGACTTGAGAAGTGCCACTCCCCCTCCCCCTTTTCATTCCACCCGCCTTTCCCTTCTTTTCCCAGCTAACGGCTTCGACTCCCCGCGAAAAACTCCGCGCATTTATTTATGAAGGTCTAAAGGTCCCCTAAAATCCTTCCACCTCCCCCACAAATTTCGGCACTCAAATTCTGTTACTGGAATACTTTGGGAAAAAGGGAGAAAAGAGGTGGAAATGTTCTTGTAAAGTGGTAATAAATAGCAACAGGTTTGTTTCGGAAACAGAACCAGAGGACAAACGATCGATGTATTATATATTTAGTTAGCTAAAGTAGAAATGGGTACCAAAAATGTAATAGAAAAATGCAAAAGACGCAAACAAATCATTGGAATACTCAGATAAACACAAAACACAATTACTTCAGTGTTACAAATAGCAAATAAAGTTCCTGAGGAGTACTTAAAGTTTGTTTAAATACATTTTAAACAATATCGGGGGAAGGCACTTAATAGGATGCAGGTCCTGATTGGCCTCAGCGCCAATCCGACCACCTGCCACCATCGACAACTGCGGGCCAAAACACAACACCACACAACAAAACACAGCACTCGGTGGGTCAGGAGGGCCACGCACTTAATTTATGACTCGCCGTGCAATAATTCAAAGTCATAGGCCTCCAGAGACCATTCAGGAAACACTCGACCACTCATTCGCTCAAGGGTCTTCGGGAAAATGGAGATTGGGGGGGCGGGGGGCAACACCTCGCTGGGGCCGAGGAATTTTTAATTAAAATATTAAAGCATTGGCTGGAAGGTGTTTTTAATCTTGAAAATTGTTTTAATTGTTATTTAGGATTTGTTGTTGACGCTGGTGTTGTTTGTGGTGCAATTTATGTGCGCCTAATTAGAACAGACACAGCAGCGAAGTCAGAGGTTCTGGCTTCGCCGGCTTCTCTGGCTTCACTGGTTTTGCCTTCCTCGCTAGCAAGTCTGGTTTTTTGTGCTTCTGCCTTATACAAAGCCGCCTCATAATTACCATATTTTCAAATTACCATTGGCCAGGGCCACGGCCGCCATTTTGCTCGGGGCCCGCGGGCCATAAAAGCTAATTGTATGCGTGCGTGGTGGAAAGGCGAGGGGAAAGGTAAACCTTGGCATGTTGTTGCTCGGTGATTTATATTTAATTGTTGTCATTATGGTCATCAAAGCCGTGTGAAGTTCCCGGCCAGGGGATTCCTGGGGGATCCGAAGAGGCGGAGGGGGAGTGTCCTGGGATGATGGAGTGCTTCAGCTGCTGCCGGGAATTCTTCGAGTGTTTCCTGGGTCAACACGCTGACAGATGTCTAATTGCTGGCCAAGTTTCCTGCTGGCACTCTCTCTTTTCCTCAATCTGAGCTTTTCTCTTAGCATTTTCCGAAGAGAAGCCCCCGGAAAATGGTGGAAATGGAACAGGGCGCATGCCTTGTGTGAATTCCATTCCGCCGAAACTCGATTCCAGCATCGTTTTTGGGGCTTCGTTTCAGTTGCGGGCCGCTGATGGCTCCACTCGGTTGGGCAGCCGAGGATGGGGGGATTGTTTTGGTGGTGGCGCACAGCGTTCATTAAATCTAGTTTGAAGCGAATACGTATTTTCGATATGGATATTCATTAAATTAAATCAAACTAACTCGGCTTGATTGGGTCCTGGCCGAATTATCATCGCACGTAGCTGTCGCCGAGCGACAGAATCGTAATTGAATAGTTTTGGATTCGATTATGCAACGCCGCCTCAAGTGGGCACGCAAGTCAATTTGCCGTAAAGTTGATCAGCACTCGGCAACGGGCATTGCATTAAATATTTTCAATTATTCATAAAATAAAGCGAACACCTTTTTGCCTGATTAATACAATTTTCCATGTCCGATGTGGCCGACTCTTTTGCTCCGCTCTGACGCAAATTAAATTAAACTCTTTTTTATCGGTCGTTGTTTGTCTGGATCGGACGCGAATGTTAAAACCGTCAGCGCGAACAGCACGAGCTATATTCATTAGTTGCATTAATTCAATATGAAATGCCTTCTCTCATTTGTTTTGATGTCGCTGCCCCGCATTCCGCCTCAATCAACCAGTAAGCGATTGTGTTTTAAATTGATTATTAATTTAAATGCGTTTTATACCTTTTCATGCGCCGCTTTACTCTATCAGCGGTCGTACAAATGATATACGCAATATCGGCTGAGAGGTGATGGGTGGCATATAGCAGTCATAACTTTAAATACAACACAACCATAATAAACCAAATATAATATTTGTCCGAAAATAGGGGTTTTGACACCGCTGAAGCGTTATTAAGTTGCTTAAAAAACAACGGAAACAAATTCATTTTAAAACCTTTAGAAAGTGATATAAACCAATTATATTTTTAGGTAGCCATGAATTTTTAATGGAATTAAGCAGGCTGTGTGGTCTCTATTCATGCAACCCCAACATTTGTTTTATCTCATAGATGCAAACTTGTCATTTTACTGCCTCCATTTTGAAGGGTATTTAAAACACAGCATGCACTTCCTTTTTCCACACCAGTTTTAATTGACTTACAGCATAGTTGTGGCCATAGTTGTTACAATTATTTACAAGCGTTTGTTATTAATGAAACATGGCAATCGGAAAAATGACTGGCGTTAATGTAATTTTCGTATTTCAACAGTTGCATCAGCTTTCGCAAATTAGCTCAGCGAGTAGTGAGCATAAAATGAAAAAACAAACCGTTTACATTCGGGTTTGGGGCGATGGCGTGTTTTCCCACGAAAATGGGATTGTGTGGAGGGGGAAAAACAAATTACTTGGGTTTTGTTTATTTGCAAAAATATTTTCCCATTTTCCCCAACTCGGGCCTAGACAAAGCGCCTCGAGATCGAAATAGGGCTTCGTCATTTGCGAATTCGACAGTTTTCCTCGAGCATATCGAATCATGGCACAAACAGGAAGGTTGGTTCTCCACCGCCTTCAGCCGCAGGTAGTGAAAGTCGAGGCAGTCAAAGTCCCCCAATCGGAAATATTCCAATAAATATGAGACGGGAAATAAAATATCGCTCATTAAATGATGACAGGAGCAAATATGAAAACACGCTCGCGGCGAGAAAGCATCCTGCGGATGGGGATACAATTACCCGAGGAGAAAGTACCTGGCCTGGGCATTAATTACAACTGTCTAAGTGCGATTCAGGATTCGGGATACGGGATACGGGATACGGGATTGGGGATCCCTGCGAAGGTAGGATGATGTACGGGGAACGAGGGAAGATTTCCAAGGAAAGTGCTTGAGCTAAACAAATATTTAAGTTGATTGGGCGGGCGGAGCGCGCAAATGCAAAAAGTTTCCACTCAAGGAGTTCACCAAATTCGCATAAATTCAATGCGTGCCAGGGCAGCCGTGAACTTTTTAATGTATTTTAAAACACTTTCCACTAAACATTTTAAGCAAACGGCTTTCCCAGGCCTTTCGCATTCGCAATCGCATTGGCCTTAGTTGGAGTCGAAGTCGCTGTGGCAGTGGCAGTCCCATGCCAAGTTGACTTCCTGTGCGAGCGCAAAGTTTTCGCTCCTCCGGAGTTGCAGGCAAAATCCCACGGAGGCTGAAATCAAGTATTTCATTTTGGATTCAACTGCTGTCCGGGCAGTGCAACAACTAAATGGGAAAGTATTTCAACTCGGGCAGCAGGCAGCATTCAGCAGACCAACAACCTGCAGTCGAACACCCAGCCGGGAATACTCTTTTGTCGAGCGTCCGTTCGTTCGCCTCTCAGTTTCTTCGAACGAAACAAATGAACTGATAAGTGCTGGGACCTGAACTGAACAATAGTTATCAAGTGACTGCGGCTCGAGTATTATAATTCTTGCGAGTTCTTAAGTCGAATATTTCACGCCTCCTTAAAAGGAAATTCGAGTTTCGTCGAGGGGCTGCCATGGCAACACCATCAACGTGGTAATAACAATGCCGAGAATAAGAAAAAGTTCTTCAACAGTTTTCGGCCACCCCCCGAGCATTTCCCACCCCCCTCCTCCCGCTTTCTCTTCTGTCAACTGCCAGCTGAGTTTCGAGCAAGTTTTGCTTCAGTGAAAATATATAAACTCCATTTTCGTGGGCTTGGTGCTTGGTCAGTGTGTCAATGTTTGTTTTATGTGCCCGGGCCAAAGTTGTGCGTCCCGGGAGGATTCCCATCAGGAAGTGGCCTTCTCCTCCAGCTTCCGATCTGCAGGTGGAAATTTTTAATTAATCACTGGCTGGCTGCCACGCTTAATAATTGAGTAAATAGAAATCAGAGCGAAACCCTGATTGCGGCATCCACACACATCGAATTAATAATGCTGTCACTGCAGAGCCCGTGGCACTTGGCCCGAACTCAATTTGTGTGGGCTTTATGCCTGCATTTGGACCTGGCCTAAGCTGCTGCCCATTCCGAGAGCATGTAATTGCATTAATTTATTTCGCCCGGCCAACTTTGCCAGCTGCTCTGATCTCTGACCACGGACAACAATGCCGATGCGATGCGATTCCCGGTAAAAGACTCCGGCTCAACTGTAATTAAAACCCTAAAATGTTGCTCGGCTCCGAAGGCAGCATACGAATACAATTTCAGCTGAAGGACTCTCTAGGAGGAGCTTAAGGAGCCAAACGAGCTAGAGGAGCCAAAGGAGCCACAGGAGCTGGCGGAGCGGAGCAAACAAAAGTTTTCACATTCGAAATGCAGGCTGGATTTGTTTTAGTTTTTGCTTAGCATTGCTGCCAAATATTTGCAGTGGCTCAGGGATTTGTTTGCGGCACCACAGGCCGAGCCGCTTGACGGCTGCAATTGGAATTTGCTTTTAATTGTTTTTAATTAAGTATAATTTATTGTGCAAACAGCAGAATCTGCAAGCTGATGCATATTCAGAATTCCCCAGAGACAAACACTCCTTGCTTCTGCAAGTCGAAGGTCCGACACTTGAACTTAAATAATAAATAAATTAAATACCATTGAAGGTTGCCCGCTTTAATGGTTATTGATTTTGCTTAGCCGTTAATGAGCTTTCGCCTTCCTGTGAAGGAACTCATTTACTTTCGCACTTTCTGCCCGGTTCGACATGCTGACGGACAAGTTCCTCCGACTGCAGTCCCTCTTCTTCCGCCAGCTGGGACTCGAGTTGCTCCCGGAGCAGGAAGCCAGTCATCGGTATCCCCGACGCGCCATTTGCTGCATCCTCTCGGTGGCCACCTTCCTGCCCCTGACCGTCGCCTTCGGGGTTCGCAACATCCAGAACGTGGACCAGCTCACCGACTCGCTCTGCTCGGTTCTTGTGGATCTGCTGGCCCTCTGCAAGATCGGGTTTTTCCTGTGGCTCTACGAGGATTTTAGGGGTCTAATAAAGCAGTTTAATACCATTCTTCAAAGGGGTAAGTTGTTTACAATTATTTTATTGAATGAAATATACGTGTTCCGTTCCTACATTTAATTTAGAGAACCATTGGAATGTTTCTGAGGCAATCATATCCAGGGAGAACCGTCGGGACCAGTTCATCGCCGCACTTTACAGCCTCTCCTTTGTGGCAGCTGGCCTGTCCGCCTGTTTGATGTCTCCTCTGTCAATGTTGGCCAGCTACCATCGAACAGGTCAACTTCAGCCGGACTTGCCCTTTCCCAGCCTGTATGGAATAAATACTCATATGGCAAAGCCCATATTAATATTGCCCTGCCTCTGCAGATATCCCTGGGACAACACGAACATATACTGCTTCTCGATATCGTATTTGTGGAATGTGAGTGCCGCTCTGGGCGTGGCACTGCCCACCGTTTGCGTGGACACGCTGTTCAGCTCGCTGACCCACAATCTGTGTGCCCTCTTCAAGATTGCCCAGCACAAAATGAGGCGTTTCGAGGGCAAATCCGTTGGGGAGACGCACGAGAACCTGGTGCATGTGTTCCAGTTCTACGGGGAGTGCCTGCAGCTGGGTCACTCGCTGAACGGGTACTTCAGGCCGCTCATATTCGCCCAGTTTTTCGCGGCCTCGCTGCACCTGTGCGTATTGTGCTACCAGCTGTCCGCCAATCTGCTGCAGCCAGCGATGCTCTTCTATGCGGCATTCACTGCAGCGATTCTCGGCCAGGTTTCCATTTACTGCTTCTGCGGATCGAACGTGAAGGCGGAGAGTCAGCGGTTCGGCCAGGCCATCTACGAGAGCAACTGGCTCGGCATCCTGGAGGAGAACTCCCAACTGGCGGGTTCCCTCAAGATTGCCATGATGCGGGCGAGAAGGGGATGTCCCATCGATGGGTTCTTCTTCGAGGCCAACAGACAGACGCTTGTCATGGTGAGATATATAAACTATAAACCATTGCTTAATTTAAAGGCACTTTATTTATATTTATTCTAGTTCAAAAATCACTGCCTATCAGATTATTTTTACCTTAAGTCTCGGTTGCTATCAAACTTATTTAAACAGACAGCTTTTTCTTTTCATCCTAGCTTATTTAATTAATTACCGTTTCGCCCACAGATTGTGCGCAGTGCCATCTCCTACGTAACGCTCCTCAGATCGCTGGCCTAGCAGCCCGGAGGCTCGTTCGGTTTGCAGGGAGAGGCCCTGGTTTTGTTAAGGCCGGAAATATTTACAATTATGCTTTAAGCCGGTGTTGTTACAGCCAGTTGGCTAATTAAGCCTTGTTAATGGCAGCAACTGCTGTGGAAAACCAGTGCTGGGCCTGTTAATGCCTTTTGCATTATTGGCCTTGCATTCGACCCCAATCAGGACATTGAACGCACGTATACGTAATATTTGCCGTTGTCCACGGCCTTTGCTGTAATTTGCTCCTGTTGTTTCTGTGTTCGCTATTTGTTGTCCTTATTTTTGGTTCGCTTTTTTTTTCATCCTCATCCTCGCACAACATTGCGGTTGTCTGCACGTGCCCGACCAACGATTATGTATAAAAGTGTGACATGGTCAAAGGATTTGGCCGATTTAACTTTGTTTTGGCCGATAGACGGCCGGCACTTCCCCTTCCGCCCAATAACTCTATGTGTGTGTATATATGTGTGTGTGGATTCTGCACGTGAGTGCGGTTGCGAAAAAGCCAATTGCAGTGGCCGGGATTTCAGCGCATCCGCTGGCGGCCCTTTAGTCATAAACTGCACGCAACACGGCGGCTTAAGTTTAGCCGATTTTGTAATTTGTTTGTAGCCACAATGCGTTCGCCAAAGGGCTCTGCCGTGCACCAATCAAAAATGTTTTGTCAAAACTAACAACGCAAACTATAGAGTATTGTTCAATACATTTTAAATTTAGGTGCTAATATCCTGACAAAATATTTATGGCATGTTGGCAACGCAAATGGAAAATACTAAATTCGAAAGCCACTTTTATAAAAGCTTTTATTTATGCTATTAAAGAAGCAACTTATTTTTCTTGTTGTGTAATTTCCGGCAGGGTCAATCTGTAATGACTGAACCCGCCATCTGGTTTATGATTCATTTGCTGATTATGCGCAGTCCTCTGAACTTTCCCTCGATTGACAAAACTGTGTGTAATTGCTGGTGTTAGCCCTTTCCCTTGGGCTCCCAGCCGCTGGCCCGAAAGTTGGCCAGCCAAACAGGCAGACAAACAAAATCAAAGACAGTCAACACTTTGGCCGTGGCGAAAGTGGCGAAAAATATACCCCGAGGGCATTGGACTATCGCCGGCGATGCGATGTGGATGTGGATGTGGATGTGGCTGTCGATGTGGATGTGGGTTCGTCCTGCAGCCGAGGATGTCTGTGTTTTTGCCTCGCTCTCTGTTTGATTCTCCGGCTGTGTCCTTTGGCGTGTCGTGTGGCGCTTTGTGGCCCATTGAGGCAAATAGTTTCGGTTTAGTCCAATAATGATGCTATTGCCATTGCAACAGAGCTTTCAGACTTTTCCTCCCCCCCTCCCCATCGACTCTTTTTTGTGGGTGGTCTTCGGTCCACTTTCATTCAATTGACGCTCCCGAGCTGAAATGCCATAATAAATTCAATTGTGCCTGTGAGAGGCCCCCGGCGGCTGTCACTTTGTGTCAGCCTGCCTCTTCTCCCACTCATTTGTTATTTGGTTTTCCAACATTGTCATAACATTCCCGTTGGTTCGTTCGGATCCTTTGCTTTGGCTTCCTTTAGCTTCCCTTGCGGATGGACTTCTCCCTTTTTAATTTGGCAATTAATTGAATCAATCGCTCGCACTTCCTTCCGCCCTTTTTAGCCATTTTTTTGGGCCTGCTGCTTTTTGGCGTTTTAATGCCGCTAATTTATGTGGTCGATTGTTTTTAGTTTTAACGAGCGTTCCGGCCATTCTTTATTGCCAAATGGCCGTTCGACTCGACCGATTGAACCGGCAAAGGGCGCTTTCTAATTTCCCCCCTTTTCCGCCCTTTCACTTTGTCCGAAATCGTTTTTCCCCTGCATTTGATGTCGAAGGACTTCCGTTTATGCCCCTTTCCTTGGCAACAGCAATTATTTCTTGAGCAAACATGACTTTAAGCCAAGTTCAGGTCCGGGTTGCACCCTCAATTAGAGCATAAATATCAAATATTGCGTATACGACCTATGCACTCTGAATTCTATTGTGTATGTATATGTAAGTATGTATGTGTACGGAAGGCAAATGAATTCATTTATGTAGATTGCCTGGTAAACGGCCGAAACGAAAATAGTTTGAATGGCTGTCGGCCAGATAGATGAAGCCATCTTGAGGCGCCTGCAAGTTTTAAATTTCTGCTGTGTTAAAGTTCCTTTGGCAGGATGCGCACACAAAGGTGGGCGAAAGACTTTCTGTCGAATGCAGCCGGAGTTCGTTCGGCTTTGTACACGAAATTGTTATAAAGAGCTAACCGGATATTTTCGGAATTTTTAATTAATTCGTCTGCACTGGCCTCACCGACTCACCGAGCACTCCAACAACCGCCGCCGCCTCCCCCAAGTCCACCTACACACATCCTGTGAGCTGTTGTCCTGCGTCTGCTGTCCAGCTGTCCTTGCCCTCACTTTGTTGCTGCAACTTGCAAGTCGGCCGCTCTGCGAGTGACTACACGGGAAAAATGGTTAATTTACATTTTATTCGGTCTTTGGTTTAAGGTTTAACCGCACTTTAAGTCAGGAATTCGGTTAAAAAAGTGTTAATAAAAACAATAAATAAATATTGTGGGTTAAAGTGAATATGGGAAAGTGTGTTTTGTATCTTTTATATTCCTTTCAAATTCCCCTCTTCAAATACCTTTATTTGCAGAGTGCACGTAAGTTCCATTTGCTGTTGTTGTTCCTTTTGTCAAAAAAAGAGCGAGGCGAGCTGCAACAATTTTCGGCAATTGCTGTCCTGGCCAAAGCAGGACACACTCGTCCTCATCCTCATCCTCCTGCTCCTCTTTCTGCCCCTGCTGCTGCTGCTTCTCCCGCTTTGTTGCTGCTCATTCATTGTGCAAAGTTTGTATAAATTTTTGATTTCTTTACACAAAATGCTGTGCATGTCTCTCCGACTGTCTGATGTCCTGCCACTGGTGCTCCGGGGGAAGGCGAGCAGTTTGCCCCCAGTTCGTGTTCCCATTCCCCGGGAATGGAATGGAGCTGCTGAAGCTGCTGCTTTTGCCTTGCTGCTTTTGCCGTGCTGCTGGCACAACACAAATGCCATTGATTGAGTCACATCGCCTGGGCATATAAATCTCCACCGATGGGGTGTGGCACGCTCGACTGCTGTCAGAAATTCCGGCTGCCTACCTTAAAGTTTTCCCCGTGCCGAGTCACAGCGACGGTCACAGTTACAGTCACACAGTCACCCATTCACAGTCACATTCACCATTCACGGGATGGAAAGTCGAAGTCTGCTGTGGCGTTTGGCGTAACTTGGCCGATGATTTCGTTATTGTTCGATTGACAATAAAAAATCAACTGAAAGTTGCGAAAGGCACAAACTGTCATTGAATTTGCGAACACACTCACACACACACACACAGATACACACACAGATACAGACTCATTCGGCCAGGGTCGAGATGGCCAGAATTTGGTTCCGGGGAAGGTCGAGCTCCACCGGAGTGGTAAGCATATAAAAATAAGTCGTCCCAAGCGACTCCCCAGCTCTACAGCTCCACAGCTCTACGGCTCGCCATCTTCCCCCAGACGAACCGAAAAGCTTTCCAAATTTGTATGCAAAAATGCAATAAGCGAGTGCAGCTTAAATAAAATGCATTTCAATGATTGCATTTTGGATTAAAACAACAACTTTGGCAGCGAACAACAATAACAGCCACAACAGTCGACATCTCTTTGTGTGTGCAAACATATATCCCTCTATATCCTCCTTCCCCTGCAATGCATATTTATTAAAATTTGTTCTCTTGCTTTTTAACGGCAGCCAAATGGAACTGACAGACATTGCATTGCATATCTCGCAGCTTGCTGCTCCGTTTAGGTTTAATGAAGTGCAAACAGAAATATTTTCAATTAGAGCCAAGGCAAACCGAGCGGCAACCCAAACCGAGCAAACCAACGACCTAAAACGAACCGAGACACAAAGTCGGAATGCTGAACAGGTGAGTGGCATGCGAATGCAAATGCAGCTTGGTCCGCAACCGAGTTGCACTCACCTTAAGCTGAAAGCCGAAAGCCGAGAACCAAGAACCAACAACCAAGAGCCAAGAGCCCGGCTCGACATGCTGTCGGCTTTTGGGCTTGCTGCTCCGAAGGATCCTCTTCGCCTTGGCATCCCACAAAGTGCTGTCTGCCAGCCAGATGGATCCCCGATCCCAACCGATCACTCTGCTGCCAGCTAGCAAAGGGCAAAGGGCCTTTAGATATCGCCCGGATAATCCCGACATACACGTGCTTGATTTATGCCAAGTCCCGGCTCCTTTTCGTTGGCCTTCTTCCCCGGCAAAACATTCAATAAATAAGGCCAAAGCAAATTACGATTCGCTGATGTTTTTACGACAGCGACGTGCCCATTTAAAAGTGTTTTTGATTTGTGTTGCTACTGCCGCTGGCGGCACATTAAATTTATACGCCAAGATTTCACGCACTCCTAATTTATGTGGCGTGGCCCAAGTCGCTGTTGCAAGTAATATTTCGCCGCCCAGCCGCCTTTATTATTATATTCATCCATCCCGCCACTTAAGCGATGACATTTTTATATATGCCCATCAAAAACAAAAGCGTTTTCTCTGGCTGAATGGCAAATTGTTGGCAAAACGATTTTCTACCAGGCCATAAGAAACGAAACTAGTGCATTGACTATATGGACACACATATGCTTAAATGTTTATTGCTGTATTGCTTAATTTATGGTAAAAAACAGTCTGGCTAGCGTGAACAAATTGCATGTAAACTCTCCTCGAAACTCAAGTTTTCGCTTTTGTTGTGACGATTAAAAATGCGCAGTGGGAAAACTGAAGCTCATTTAGTCAAAATAAACTGTCCTTATAAAATGTCAAAATGGATTGAAAAAAGTATAGCAAAAAAGTTGCTTTTACCAGGGAAGGCGCTATGTTGATATCCCTTAAAATAGCACCTATAATATATAAAAACTTATATAAACTATTGAAGAAGA